ATCAAGTGAAGTAGTACAATCAAGTGAAACAGGTATAAGCATGAATTATGAGCCAAATAGAAATGCACGAAAGAAAATACCCTCATCCCCTAACTTGAATATGACATTGTCATCAATGGAAGCAAATGCTAAGTAAATAGGAAAGAGAATATTATCAGAGATTGTAGGTGCACATTCAGGTAGGCAAATAGTAACACGGACACACACACACACACCTTTTTATTTATTTATTTTTTATTTATTTTTTAAAAAAGAGAAACAACTGAAAGGAAAATACAGAATAAAAGATACAAAGAAAAAGATAATCGGGTACTATGGAGAAACCGATGGTGACGGTGGGGGGAAATGCTAGGCAAACAAGGCGTTCATCAATGACCGCGTCTCGAATGCTTCGTCTTGAACCCAGGCGCCGAGCTGGTCAAAACGCTGCTGGCTCGACTCTCGATATGTATAAAAGTCAGTTTGCAATGATGTAACTGACTGCTGAATGTCGAGCTAGCGAGCGTTGAGCTGGTCGAAAGCCGCTTGAGAATAGTTCAGATGCGCCTGAAAATCCGTGCGCAACCCTATGAGGATCTGGTGGTGATCGTGAAAAGTACTGTGGACCTGATCCACACAGTGCTGAAGTTGTAAGTACTCGCGAGTCATTTAGTGGGTCCCCTTGGGGTGGTACAGGGGAGGCAAGAGGAGGTGGTTGGTCGTGGACAAGGTCTTGGGCCTCATCTACTGGGGCACCAACTTGTTGCGGGATGCAGGATATGCTATGCTGCCGTTCTCGCTGCCCAAAAGTCGGATAAGCTGTGTCAATCTCCTCAGTCGGATCAATTGGGAGGCTGTTCAGCTCGAAGACAAGTGTGAGCAAGTTGGCAAATGGCAGGGACCAAGTCAAGTTCTATATAGGTTGAGGCTGAACGACCTCCTGTAGAAATTTGCGCATATGTATCCAGATGACGTGCGCAAGCGGGACTTGATAGCCATGCTGATAACCATGTAAGACCCGAACAAACTCTAAGCGGAGCTCAGCTTTATGCCCAAGTGGAAGGGCATTTTTATGTATCACGGAGTCAATGAATAACAAGCGGCCAGGCAGCTTGCTCCGGCACAAGCATGTGTAACTTGCGTCACCGTGGGCCCCCGAGAAGTACTCTTGGATAAGGCTGTGTATGGGTTGTCGGCCTTCAACTTCCGGGAAGGGTTGGTGGTCTGTCTTGGAAAAGAACCCTTACACTTGGGCAATCATAGATTCTGTGATGCTGACAAGGTGGCCATCATTAGTGGAGGGCAGTCCTACCTCAGTAAGTGACTCGTACATGTTCTGATAGAAGAGTCGTACCAGACGAGGATAAGTGGGCGCTGTAACAGTGCACAGGCCCAACTGTTGTCGGAGGCGGAGCTGCTCAACGGCCCAAGAGGTGACTGGGTCATTTTGAAAATAGTTGAGCTTGAACTGTGTGAGCTTGTTATGCGGGCGTGAAGCCCACTCCAGTCGTGGCAACTCAACCAGTGGTGGTGGTGAGGATGGTGGTGACGGTGGCGGTGGTGCCGAGGAGAATGAACTTCTGGCCTTTTTGGAGGTCCGGGTGGATAGCCATTTACTCATATCCTGCACACACTAAAAGCAAATACACATATTCGTGGAACCAACATGAGAATAAGAATAAGATATTAAAGTACAAGTCTGCCCATTGATGTACACATGCAATTCTCATCATTTTTTTTTTTATAATAAATGAAACTTAAAATAAAATTAGATAAAATAAACTAGATACATTAAAATGTTATTTAAAAATTAATGACTAAACAAATAAAAATGAATTAAACTAACAAGTAATAATGAGATAATGAAATAAATAGAATAAATAATAATCAAAATAAAATAATAAAAAAATAATAATAAACAACTAAATAAATAATAATAATATATATATATTTTTTAATTTTTCTAACTTTTTTTTTTTTTTGTGTGTATGTAATAAATGAAACCTAAAATAAAATAAAATAAATTAAACACAGTAACATTTTATGTAAATATGGAATGATTAAACAAATAAAAATGAACTACATTAACAAGTAATGAATTAAATTAACAAAGAATAAAAATAAAAAATAAACAACTAAACAACTAAATAAATAAATAGATAACCTAGGAAATAAAATGAATTAGAAAAGCTAAGCATGAGAATTTTTATTTATTTATTTATTTATATGATTTGGGCCGCACGTGCGGTGGTCGTCTTCTTGGTTGCCCAGAAATTTTTTTTATTTTATTTTATTTTTTATTTTTTAAGGATGAATTATAGATCATTATAAAACTATCCCTAAATCTTACTACAAGGGAAGATTGAAAGAAGAAATATAAAGTTTAAACAAAAAGGAAGGATTTACCTCTAAATAGTGAAGAAAGAGAGATATGGGAGATTTACCAGAAAAAATGGTGGTTGCCGGAGATTCGATGGACGGAGAGGAAATAGGGCACCGGCGGTGAGGCTCTAGTGGTATAGTGGTGGGAGAAGAGTTTGAGTAAAGGTTGGTGAGGGTGGGAAAAAAAAAATGAAGAAAGTTGGTGGTGGTGGGGTTTGAGTGAAAGAGAAAGGAGAGGGAGAAGATGATAAGGTAGAGAGAGAGAGAGAGAGAGAGAATATGAGAGGTAGAGAGAGAGTGTATCTGTGAGAGTGATGGGAGTGAGTTAGGTTTTTGTTGAAATCAAAATCCGCACGTGCGGCAGTGCACCACCTAGAAACGTTTCAACTTTTTTTTTTCTTTGAATTTGTACAAGTTAATCTACCCCTACACCCAACTATATGTGAAAATTGAAAGAAGAACTATACAAATATAAACAAAAAGATGGATTTACCTAAAAATAGTGAAGAAAGAGAGAGAAAGAATAGAGATTCGCCGAAAAAAATGGTGGTCGCCAAAGATCCGACGGACAGAGAGGTAATAGGGCGCCAGTGGTGAGGCTCCGGTGGTAGAGTGGTGGTGAGAAAAGTTTGAGTGAAGGTTGGTGATGGTGGTAAAAAAAATGAAGAAAGTTGATGGTGGTGGTGGGGTTTGAGTGAAAGAGAAAGGAGAGGGAGAAGATGATAAGGTAGAGAGAGAGAGAGAGAGAATATGAGAGGTAGAGAGAGTGTATCTGTGAGAGTGATGGGAGTGAGTTAGGTTTTTGTTGAAATCAAAATTATTATTATTTTTTTTTCAAATACGAAAATAAGATAAAATAAAAAAATAAATATATAAATAAAAAGTGAACAAAGAAATCTGATTTTTTGATTTTTCGATTTTTTTCACAAACGAAAATAAAAAAAATAATAAAACGGTCATTCCATAGGGACAATTGGGAAATTAAACCAATTTAATTTTTAAATTCCTAAATTAATTTTGATAAAAAGAATGATTGTTCATAACCTAATAATAATTAAATTAAATAAGCGAATAAACTAGTAATTATAAATAAAGATGAATTTACTAATTTAGGGAAAAACCTAGGGCAATGAGTTCATCACTAGTTACGTAAATAAGGTTTCAATTTGAAATCAATTATGCTACGGTTCGAACGGAATAATACTTTGTAACTACAAGTTCGAAGCATTATCAAGAAAATTATCACGTTCAATGTACGGGCACGAACCATCTCAAGTAGTACGAATTGTTCGCTCTAAACTAGGGTAACGACACGACTCGTTCCTCGTAGTATGGTTCGTCTCATACCTTATATGAAAGAATAGAAAACTATTGTATGATAAGTATTCAACAATCACAGAAAGCCGAATACTTGAAAAAATAGTGGAAAATATATATGTGAAACTTCTAAAACACCATATAATTGTTCAAACCTTTACATAATCAAAAATCAAAAAGAAAACCTAATTACATAGCTAGGGTTTTATCAAAATCTTAGAAAAGAAGAGCCTAGCCACTCATGGAGGAGTGGGAAGGCGTGGAAGAGATGGAACCCTCTATGGGAATTTGCTTTGAAGATTGAGAATCACTTTTTTCCGAACCCTAGCCTCCTCTCTCTCCTTCAAAATTTCCGAACCCTATTCCAGCCTCTTTTCTGCCTTTTTGTATCTCTGTTGTGTTTCAAATAGGTTTAAAATAGTGGCACAATTTCCGAGGTTATGCCGCACGTGCGGGAAAAGTCAACGCACGTGTGGGAAGCACTTTTCTCCACAAGTCCTGCATTTTTGCTTATTTTATGCTCCTACTATGTACAACCTGATTGACATTAAACAAACATAAAATATATAGTTTGACAAGCAAGTAAAGTTAAGAGATTCTAATTAACGACCTCAGTGTTGCACAATTCGGCCTTAATCAATTGCTTTTCAGGATTGCTGTGGATCAGGAGGTGATTGTTGCGGATTGTTTGGGGAATGGAGAGGTGGTGGTTTGGGATATTCAGTTACAGTGGCTAGTTCAGGATTGGGAGGTTGGTCAATTGGAGGATATGTTGGGGTTCTTATATGGGTTGGGCTCAGTGGGTGGGGGGAGGATGTGGTTGTGTGGGATGTTTCGGGTACTAAAGGACAATTTTATTTTCATCATTTTATCGGAGCTTGGTGGAGGAGGTGATAGGGGTGTTTTCTTGGAGGAGTATTTGGGTGCCGGGTGTTCCATCTAAGGTGGTATTTTTTTTGTGGACAGGCTGCCTTGGGACAGAATCTGACCATGGACCAGGACAACTTGTCTTGTCAAGGACATGTCTTAGGCCTCGTTTGGAAAATAATAGTTTTAGCCTAAAAGTCAAAAAGTTACTAAAAAAATCAAAAAACCTATAACCTATACCAAAAAGTCAAAGATTTTCTTTTTTCTTTACTTTTTGTACATCTTTTCGTAAAAAACTAAAAAGTCATTCCAAACATACAAGTTTTTTTTATCTCATATTTTAGAAAAAGTCAAAAAGTTACTGAAATAGTCTGTTCCTAAATGAGGCCTTAGTGAATCGATGTTGTATGTGTTGTGCTGTTGTAGAGTCGGTGGATCATTTGTTTCTTCAATGGGAAAACCAAGAGTATGCCTGCTGATTCTGTAGAAGCAGGTATACCTGAGGATAATCATGGAAGAAATGGGGTAACCACAGGTACAGTGGCCAACAAGCAAGAATTGAAGAATGGTGGTGTTAACTGCCCCTCTGATATCTCAGGGTTGAAGAGAAAATTTCAGGATGAGGATTCATGCACTTTGTTGACTAAAGATGCTCATTCGCAGGCAAAACTTGAAGATTTCAAAGAAGTGTATGTTACACGTTATCCCTAATGTTTTAAAATTTTCTTTTCTGCATAATGAGATCTGGTTAAGGATTGGACATGAATTTATCCTTGCTATGTTCTTGAATTTAATTTAGATGGTATATGTTTATACTTGCTAATATCGATTCTGTTGTATATGTGTATGCAATACTCCTGTTTTGTTAAACCTGGCTGAGAGACATCAAATGACCTCTTGGAAATGCTACATCATTTTATTCTTTGTTTTAATGTGTGTTATTCTTGGATATTTTACTCTTGAACTTAAGCTTTTGTGTTTGGTTGTAATCCCAAGTATTGGTTTGGGTTTTGGTTTTGGTTTTTTTATCTTTTTAGTTTAATCGTGACAAAATGTAATATGTGATTGAATGTTAACATTGTTTTATCTGTTAAAAATGATTATGCAGTCCTAATATGTCTGGAAAATGTCAGCCATATCATCTAGTGTTTTTTCCTTAACTATTTCTTCTTTCTTTTAACTGGTTTTAATTTAAACTCTCCATGTGCCCTTATCTTTCTCTCAATTGGGTTCCTGGATTCTTTTTCTTTGGTGATTAGTATTTGTTAGTGATCAATGCACTTCTTTGATGTTCCTTTATCTCTTCTTCTTCTTGGTTTAATAATTTTTTAAGAGGGGTTTCTTATATTTGTTCTGTTGACATGATTACTTCCCTTATAGGTTTTAACATGAGTCTCTTTTGGTATGTCTCAGTCTATCGAAAGAAGCTTCTTCAGGTCTGCGATCATGTGGTTGGACGGAAGAAGTTCATCGTTGGATGTGGTCTAGGAAGAAGGTGTGTTCTCGAGAAGCAAGCGATATGGCAACAAATGGCTCTGAATTAAAGTAAGCATTCATAAACTTTTTAATTTTTATGCGAGAGCCATTTGGGTATGTCTGTTGGAAAAAAAGAAAATAAAAAAAGACTAAAAATCTTATGTTTAATATGTTTTTGAAGTTCAAATTTGTGTATAACCCTTGAAAGAGTTTCTAAACGTAGAAAGTACTTTATTTTATTTTATTTTTATTTTTCTAATGTTGAATTTGTGTGCTTGAGGATTCACTAGGAATTGTTAGTTGAAATACTTTTAATTTGTATTTTTTGTTATTCAGAAACAAAATACAGTAATTTTGGAACTTCATACATTGGATTGAAATTTATTGAACTCTTTAAAACTACTGAACCTCATGAGAAGTTGTAGAACATATTGAATTTTTTGAACCTTGAATTTGAAAGTGAAAAAGAAAACCGAGACAGGACCAATGTATTTTTTGAACCTTGAACCTTGAAGTTGTGATAGTTTGATGTAAATAATGAACAGATAATTTTTTTTTTCCGAAACCATGTTAAATGAAAAAGCAACGAAAACACAACCAAGTAATGCAGAAAACCAATACAGGACCAATTTACACTGGGCTTTCTTGGTTTTGGTTTAGTTTGTTCTTTTAATGCCTAGGCCTGGTTCTCATTTGGAAAACTGGGAACTAAATTGGATTAGTTCAGTTCTAGTGTTGTCCAGTCCAGAAACTGATCCAACTTGGACCTTGTGACCTCATTCTAAGCTACAGGGCTTTAGGAACTTGTGTGGTGGAGTTGCTCACCTTTTAAATAGGTGTTTGTTGGGCTGTAAACGAACTGATCTGTGCCAAGTAGTGCTCTGTTTGAGCTTGGCTTGGTCCATTTAGGGATGTTTGAGTTTGATCAACCTTATTTGAGCTGAACTAGTCAGGTTTCAAACTAGTTCAACCTCATCTCGGCTTGGTTACGCTTCAATCCCTTAGTATTTGCGGTTGTCACCAACTACGTTACACGGACTCTTCGTTTTTTGGGAGGTACCCATGTCGACACGACATGACACGACATGGGTACGGGTGCGGGATACGGCCGGGATACGGCTTTGTACAAATGGATACGGGAGAAGAAACGAAAGAGAAGAGAGTAAGGAGAGAACCTGTCGTTGACTTCGAAAAGGCAAGACATCGATCCCTCTTTCGCCGACTTTGATCCCCCTGCTTGCGTCCTTCGGTACTAAAGGACAATTTTATTTTCATCATTTTATCGGAGCTTGGTGGAGGAGGTGACAGGAGTATTTTCTTGGAGGAGTATTTGGGTGCCGGGTGTTCCGTCTAAGGTGGTATTTTTTTCGTGGATGGGCTGCCTTGGGACAGAATCTGACCATGGACAACTTGGCTCGTCAAGGACATGTCTTAGGTCTCGTTTGGAAAATAATAGTTTTAGCCTAAAAGCCAAGAAGTTACTAAAAAAATCAAAAAACCTATAACCTATACCAAAAAGTCAAAGATTTTCTTCTTTCTACTTTTTGTACATCTTTTCGTAAAAAACTTAAAAGTCATTCCAAACATACAAGTTTTTTTTACCTCAAATTTTAGAAAAAGTCAAAAAGTTACTGAAATAGTCTGTTCCTAAATGAGGCCTTAGTGAATCGATGTTGTATGTGTTGTGCTGATATAGAGTCGGTGGATCATTTGTTTATTCATTGTACTGTAGTCGGAGGATGTGGTTGTGTGGGATGTTTCGGGTACTAAAGGACAATTTTATTTTCATCATTTTATCGGAGCTTGGTGGAAGAGGTGACAGGAGTATTTTCTTGGAGGAGTATTTGGGTGCCGGGTGTTCCGTCTAAGGTGGTATTTTTTTCGTGGATGGGCTGCCTTGGGACAGAATCTGACCATGGACAACTTGGCTCGTCAAGGACATGTCTTAGGTCTCGTTTGGAAAATAATAGTTTTAGCCTAAAAGCCAAGAAGTTACTAAAAAAATCAAAAAACCTATAACCTATACCAAAAAGTCAAAGATTTTCTTCTTTCTACTTTTTGTACATCTTTTCGTAAAAAACTTAAAAGTCATTCCAAACATACAAGTTTTTTTTACCTCAAATTTTAGAAAAAGTCAAAAAGTTACTGAAATAGTCTGTTCCTAAATGAGGCCTTAGTGAATCGATGTTGTATGTGTTGTGCTGATATAGAGTCGGTGGATCATTTGTTTATTCATTGTACTGTAGTCGGAGGATGTGGTTGTGTGGGATGTTTCGGGTACTAAAGGACAATTTTATTTTCATCATTTTATCGGAGCTTGGTGGAGGAGGTGACAGGAGTATTTTCTTGGAGGAGTATTTGGGTGCCGGGTGTTCCGTCTAAGGTGGTATTTTTTTCGTGGATGGGCTGCCTTGGGACAGAATCTGACCATGGACAACTTGGCTCGTCAAGGACATGTCTTAGGTCTCGTTTGGAAAATAATAGTTTTAGCCTAAAAGCTAAAAAGTTACTAAAAAAATCAAAAAACCTATAACCTATACCAAAAAGTCAAAGATTTTCTTCTTTCTACTTTTTGTACATCTTTTCGTAAAAAACTTAAAAGTCATTCCAAACATACAAGTTTTTTTTACCTCAAATTTTAGAAAAAGTCAAAAAGTTACTGAAATAGTCTGTTCCTAAATGAGGCCTTAGTGAATCGATGTTGTATGTGTTGTGCTGATGTAGAGTTGGTGGATCATTTGTTTATTCATTGTACTGTAGTGTCACGGCTTTGGGGGCTGGTTTGGTCTCTGTTTGGGTGCAACCAAGGGGGGTGTTGGAGTTGTTGTGGAGTTGGCGGGGTGCTTGGGTTGGGTGTCGGCGAAGGCGAATTTGGTTGGTTGTGCCTTTTTGTTTGATGTGGTTGGTTTGGTTGGAGAGGAATCGGCACACGTTTCAAGAGATTAACCACTTGGTGTCATGGCTTGAGAATCATTTGTTGGTTACTTTGTGTAGTGGTTGGAGAAAAGGGTGGATCCGGATTTATTTGTTTTCATAGATTTTTTGGATAAGGTTATTCGTTAGGGGGTTTTAGCTTCCCATTTTTTGGGGTTTTTGTATTCTTTGCATCATCTTTATACTTTTTCAATAAAATTTTATTTATTTATGTATCAAAAAAAAAAAAAAATTAAAATAGAGGGATATGGGGCTTGATGGAGGGGGAAAAACTTACTACTTGAATGATGATTTTGGGAGAATAGCTGAGATGGAGGAAATTAGCTGGAGAAAAACATCAAGGCAGTTGTGTCTTAAGTGGGGTGACTGGAGGACTCTTTTCTTCCATTGGATGGCTAACACTTATTAACAGTGTAATTTCATTGGCAAAATTCAGATTGGGGACAGCTTGTTATTTTCAGAGAATGAGGTCACGATTGGCATTGTGGGGTTCCATGAGAATCTTTATTTTAAATCCATTTGGGGACCCAAATTTGGTGACTTGGAGCTTAGCCAAATTTGGCTGGTGTGTGTTGTTAGGGGAGGAGGTTATTGTTGCTGTGAAAACCCTGAATGAGGATAAGGCTCCAGGGCCATACAATATGTCTACCACCTTCTTCCAGCATGATCTTGGTGTTGTCAACATTCTATATCAGGTTAGGCAAGTTTGTATATGGACATGACTGTTTCCGGGAATGGTTTCTTGCTCGCAAATATTTTAATGACGTGGGTTACTTCTTTTTTTTTTTACTTCTTTTTTTTTTTTTTTTTTCATGTGTATCCAAAGATTATATGTACTTTCATGTTTCATGTGGGGCAATCCTGTATTTTTACAATGGAAAACATCTCATTTGATGCTGTTGCTTTTAATTTGTTCTAAATCTATATTGGTTTACTACTATGCCCTGTTATATGTGATTCACTGTGTCTCTTTGGCATTGTTATTTAACATAATTTGTTTTATTTATTGGCTGAACTGCAGGATACACATGTAGAGTATAAACTTTTTGGTACCATTGTTCATTCAGGCTTCTCACCAGATTCTGGGCACTATTATGCATACATCAAGGTCCCTTTCAATGTTTTGCCTTTGGAAATATCCTACTATGTTTAATATTAGGTGTTCTTTATATAAAATTTGAAAGGCAGCTATGTTGTTTGGTTGCTGATTTTGATTTTCCACATCTACAGGATGCAATGGGCCGTTGGTATTGCTGCAATGATTCGTATGTTAAACTTTCAAATCTGCAGGAAGTTTTGTCAGAGAAGGTTTATATCCTTTTCTTTTCTTGTACTAAACAAAGGACAGGGCCTGCCAACACTGCATTGGCTTGCAATGGAGTGAAGTCTCAAGAGTGCAATGGCAGTGATACTTCTAAAAGCCAAAAGGTAGGTCATTCAGGGAAAGCAGTGTATACAAAACAATCTGTTGATCATTCTTTTGAAAGCGATAATTTGACCAGATGCCGAGGGCCTGGCAACACTGCATTGATTTCCAATGGAGTGAAGTCTCAAGAGTGCAATGGCAGTGATGCTGCAAAAGGCCAAAAGATAGCTCATTCAGGGAGAGCAGTGTGTGCAAAGCAATCTGTCGATCATTCTTTTGAAAACGATAAGTTAAGCAGATGCCCAGGGCCTGCCAACACTGCATTGGCTTCCAACAGAGTGAAGTTTCAAGAGTGCAATGGCAGTGATGTTTCTAAAGGCCAAAAGGTTGCTCATTCAGAGAAAGCAGTGTATGCAAAACAATCTGTCGATCATTCTTTTGAAAACAATAATTTGACCAGATGCCCAGGGCCTGCCAACACTGCATTGCCTTCCGATGGAGTGAAGTCCGAGTGCAATGGCAGTGATGCTTCTAAAGGCCAAAAGGTATCTCATTCAGAGAAGGAAGTGCATACAAAACAATCTGTCAATCATTTTTTTGAAAACGATAATTTGACCAGATCTGAGGACAATAAAGTGCCTTTTAGTGGAGAGGCCAACTTAAGTAGCTTTGGAAAATCTGGTGCCAAAAGGTTTCCTGCAAGTGGAAATAATGGGGAGAAGGGGGAGAAGAATATGTCATCATCAAAAGTCAATTTCAATGGAAATAATGGGGATGTGAAAGCGTCAATTTCAGCGGAGACGGGTGAGAAGAATATGTCATCATCTAATGGAAATGGTGTTACCAAAAGTAAAACAGTTGAAGCAATTGATAACGGGAACATCCAATCATTTGCTTTAGAAAATGGGAATGGGAATGGGAATGGGAATGGGAAAACCAAGAGTCTGCCTGCTGATTCTGTAGAAGCAGGTATACCTGAGGATAATCATGGAAGAAATGGGGTAACCACAGGTACAGTGGCCAACAAGCAAGAATTGAAGAATGGTGGTGTTTACTGCCCCTCTGATATCTCAGGGTTGAAGAGAAAATTTCAGGATGAGGATTCATGCACTTTGTTGACTAAAGATGCTCATTCGCAGGCAAAACTTGAAGATTTCAAAGAAGTGTATGTTACACGTTATCCCTAATGTTTTAAAATTTTCTTTTCTGCATAATGAGATCTGGTTAAGGATTGGACATGAATTTATCCTTGCTATGTTCTTGAATTTAATTTAGATGGTATATGTTTATACTTGCTAATATCGATTCTGTTGTATATGTGTATGCAATACTCCTGTTTTGTTAAACCTGGCTGAGAGACATCAAATGACCTCTTGGAAATGCTACATCATTTTATTCTTTGTTTTAATGTGTGTTATTCTTGGATATTTTACTCTTGAACTTAAGCTTTTGTGTTTGGTTGTAATCCCAAGTATTGGTTTTGGTATTGGTTTTGGTTTTTTTATCTTTTTAGTTTAATTGTGACAAAATGTAATATGTGATTGAATGTTAACATTGTTTTATCTGTTAAAAATGATTATGCAGTCCTAATATGTCTGGAAAATGTCAGCCATATCATCTAGTGTTTTTTCCTTAACTATTTCTTCTTTCTTTTAACTGGTTTTAATTTAAACTCTCCATGTGCCCTTATCTTTCTCTCAATTGGGTTCCTGGATTCTTTTTCTTTGGTGATTTGTATTTGTTAGTGATCAATGCACTTCTTTGATGTTCCTTTATCTCTTCTTCTTCTTGGTTTAATAATTTTTTAAGAGGGGTTACTTATATTTGTTCTGTTGACATGATTACTTCCCTCGTAGGTTTTAACATGAGTCTCTTTTGGTATGTCTCAGTCTATTGAAAGAAGCTTCTTCAGGTCTGCGATCATGTGGTTGGACGGAAGAAGTTCATCGTTGGATGTGGTCTAGGAAGAAGGTGTGTTCTCGAGAAGCAAGCGATACGGCAACAAATGGCGCTGAATTAAAGTAAGCATTCATAAACTTTCTAATTTTTATGCAAGAGCCATTTGGGTATGTCTGTTGGAAAAAAAGAAAAGAAAAAAAGACTAATAATCTTATTTTTAATATGTTTTTGAAGTTCAAATTTGTGTATAACCCTTGAAAGAGTTTCTAAACGTAGAAAATACTTTTTTTTTTTTTTGTCTTTTTCTAATGTTGAATTTGTGTGCTTGAGGATTCACTAGGAATTGTTAGTTGAAATACTTTTAATTTGTATTTTTTGTTATTCAGAAACAAAATACAGTAATTTTGGAACTTCATACATTGGATTGAAATTTATTGAACTCTTTAAAACTACTGAACCTCATGATAAGTTGTAGAACATATTGAATCTTTTGAACCTTGAATTTGAAAGTGAAAAAGAAAACCAAGACAGGACCAATGTATTTTTGAACCTTGAACCTTGAAGTTGTGATAGTTTGATGTAAATAATGAACAGATAATTTTTTTTTTTTTTTTTTGAAACCATGTTAAAAGAAAAAGAAACGAAAAAACAAACACTTACCCATACCCTGGCTATAAGGCTTGTTGCTCAAGGTTATACCCAAATTGAGGATATAGACCATTGCTCCTCCCATGGCTCAACTTGAGTTTATTCAACTGCTCTTTGCCATTGTTTGTCATCTAATATTCAAGTTGTACCAAATGGAGGTCAATAGTGCCTTTCTCAATGGCCTTCGACAAGAAGAAGTCTAAATGGAGTAACCAAAGATTTCAAGGATCCACAAAGTCCTAACCATGTCTAAACGCTTAGGAACACTCTGTATAGCCCAAAACCATGACCGGTTAACCAATTACCTCTTGAACTCCGGCTTCATTCAAGGGGGAGTTCATAGGACTCCATTGATTCACAAGGATGAGCAAGATATGCCTAGCTCAAATATATGTGGGATACATTTTTATTGATTGGCACCGGGGTGTCCAGATCAAAATTCGACTAATCCTTAAGAGTGCATAAGCTCTCGGTAAGGAGTTTTTCGCAAGTGTACCATGGGGAAGAAACGAAAGAGGAGAGAGCAATGAGAGAACCTGGTTGCCAACTTCAAAAGAGCAAGACATCGATCCCTCTGTCACCGACTTCGATCCCTCTGGTCGCATCCTTCAACTTTGTCATCGTGGACTTTGACTTCGTCTAGCGCCCTTTGATTTCGACTTCGACTGCAACTTCGTCTTCGACGAGCACGACTGTAAGCCCTTCTCTCTCTCTCTCTCTCTCTCTCTCTCTCTCTCTCTCGCTCTCTTTCTCTTCTATTCCAGATCTGCTTTTGATCTGCCTCTCTCTCTCTCTTTTATTCTTTATTTATTATATTTCATCTCTCTATTCATTCTTTTTAAAAATTTTTTTTTTAAAAAAAATTTGGGCTGAACCAGATAAATGAAATTTTGGACCTACTAAACTTTGGGCCTATTAAAATTTTGGTTAACAAATCTTTTAATATCATGGGCTGTTATGTAGCAAATTTATATGTTTGGTCCGTAAATTATATATAAAAAAATTATTGAGTCAACTTTTTAACTCATGTTTATAAAAAAAATATATATTTAAGAAATAATTATTTGACGTACCTCCGTATCCGTATCCAAATTTAGATCTGTATCCACGTATCCTTCATTTTAAGTTTTGAGGTGTCTGACCCTTAGATACGCACCCGCACCCGAGTCCGTATAACGTAGGTCACCAACAATTAATGAAAGGATTCCTTTTGATTCAAACGAAGTAATGTGGGCTTTGATAGAGGGAGGGATGTAATAGTATTAAGTGTGATACATAGAGGAGAGAGAACTTACCTTGATGTATCTATTAAAGACAAAAATAGCATATGAATTGAACTTGGAATTTATAAAAGCCCTGTTGAATTTTTGTGGAGTTGTCATGATTCAAAGCTTCATATTGTTTCAATACACAAACAATAAAAAATATAAGTCATGAAAAAAGAGATTCTTAGAAGGAGATGGTGGAGATTAGTTGAAGGAATCCCTAAGGTGTTTATTGGTTTCCCCAACTAAAGCGAAGCCATGATAGTGGACATTGTGATATCATCTAGTCTTGACGCTTGGCTGTCTCTAATTGGTTCTTGGTTTTTTTCTACACGACCATTCTTAAGTTTAAACCCATAGAATTCAGACATGTTGGTTGGTTATGCATAATCTTAGCTGATCATATTTGATAACCTGTTAGTATGTTGAGTCGAGTCATGGGTAGCGTGACTTTTGTGTTTTATGTATAGTGTTGCCTTTCAGTGTGGTCAATTCATCCTTGAACCAATTATTGGACTTTGTAGAGGGCTTTGAATATGTTTTTGATGTATAGTTGATATGTTTCCTTTTGTATATGGGATGCTCCATCTTGTTGCCTCTTTAATATAATCGTCTTTATTTATTAAAAAAATGAAAAAGGGGGAATAGATAAATATTGCACATGATGCATGTACTTGAGCTCATGCAACATTGGAGTATTCATGCATTGAAAAAATTCTGGACAGAAGTCCGAATGCACAAACCTTGATTTGGATTGTAGGAATCTCAGATGGAGAATCCCAAACTGTGTCAAGCTCTGAAGGCAAGAATATGTGTAGCAAGCACAACTTCATGATGAACAATTAGATGGTTCTTGAATTTTTTGCCATTACCTTTGTCCTTTAAGGGTCGTGTGACATTCTCCTATCAAGAAATGTTATGCACTATTTTGGGTAAATTACTCCATTAGTCCTTGTAGTTTGAGAGAAGTGTCACTTTAGTTTTTGTAGTTTCAATTTGAACATTATACTTTTCAGTTTTGTCGCAATGTGTTTTCTCCATTATGCGCTGTTAACATTTTAAATGAAGAAAGAACACGTGCAAAATTAGGACTAAAGTGAAACTCAAAAGAAACTATAAAGACCATCAATATAATTTATTTATTACACCGGTGGTCCCTATAATTTCTTTTGAAATCTACTTTTGTCCCTTTAGTTTTGCACGTGGTCTTTTTTTTTCAAAATTCTAACTGCAAGTGATGGAGGGACCACATTGCAACAAAACTAGAAGTGTAAGGTTCAAATTGTTCAAATTGAAACTACGAGGACCAAAATGAAACTTTGCTCAAACTAGAGGACCAACAGTGTAATTCACTATGCTATTTTCCTTTTGTCTTTAGAAGTAATGGATCTTTAATCAAAACAGTTGTTTTGGGGGTTTATCTGGATTCTCATCCAGAAATGTACAATTATGTGCCAGTTACCTGTCCTCGGATCACCAATGAAGTAAAATGATCCAGAAAAACATTCTCTGTAGATTAATTAAATGTAACTGTATTCATTATTCTCCCAAAACTACCAAAAATAATTCCCTGAATTTATGTGCATATTTTTATTTATATTTAAAATTTTGATGGTTACGTTTAGTGGAAACTCTAATTCATCTTTCACTATTTTTGTAATGCAGGAAGATGTTGATGACAGAAGCCAAACAAATTTATATCTCACAAATTCCCGAGTCATTGAAAGAGAACCTTATTAATCATCTCAGATCATTTACCTGGGTAAAACATTTTTCAAGTCCTTGAGCAACTCAGCATGGTATGTCAATGTGTCGAAGCAACATTTTTCCAAAAATTTTAAACTCAGAACTCAATAAAGTAGAATGTAGCTTTTAGTATTAGTTTCCGTACATTTAAAAGAAGAAAAAAAAAATGCGGTTGATTGATTTTGTTGGTAATTTTTGCAGTATCCTGATGTAGGTGGTAGATCTTGTTGTACAATCTGTAACACTGATTTGTTTCATTTAGCGGTGACATCGTCCATGAGCAATATCTGGGGGCATGTCATATTTTTGTATTTTACACATATGATGACGTTGAGAGGAGGTTCCATGGTCACGGCATTTAATACCTTTATTAGTCGGCGGAATATAGGTGCGTGCGTCACTGATCAATCTTGAGATTGAAGGGCTGAGTTTCAGTAATTGCCAAAAATTGTGTCTATTAATTTTGCACATGTGCGGTTGGGTTATGACAGTTAACAAAGCTCAGAATTCTATTAATTTTGTATGATATCCGTTCTCGGCATTTTTGTTAGCATTCAATCCTCATTTTCACAATTTTCCAATAAAAATACCGGCGGATTTGTACTATTTTAACCTATGCTATCCTGAGTTTTTCTATTAAATACAGCATTGCTACTTATTTATATTTTTTTAATGTGCACAATATTTCTCTCTTGCCAAACACTTTGTCAGATTCCTCTGCATTGGAACTGTGATTGTTGATAGGGTAATGCCTTCAGATTTGCTGATAGTGTTTGTTTGGTAATGTATTGAAGAAAAAAATAACTCCTTTGATCATCTGCAATTACTATACTCAAAACCCCCTTTTTCATTTAGGTAGGATTGGTGGGTTGTTAGGTGAATTACGGTTTTAACCATTGTTGTTTGATCTAAATTTTATTTTGATTCCTATTATTTCAACTTGAACATTTAGTCCTTGCACTTTAAATTTAGTTTTAATTTAATGTTTTTGTTCAAGTTGGATGTTAAAATTAACAATTGTGATGCATGTTAGCTTATTGAGGTGTAGACGCTGCAAAAATTAACTGGACATAAAATGTGTCTAGATATTGCCATTTTAAATTATTATTATTATTATTATTATCCATTCATGTGTCAACTGACCGGGTTACATTTAGCTAAAATTTTTGTATAGTCAATCGTTCAAATTTATCTACTTGCAATTGAGCCATATTCTCTGGATATTTATAGGTCATTTTAGCTGCGGAAAACGAATCAGTTTGCTTGTTTTCATTTTTCAAAATACACTTTTAAGAAAATTTTATTTTTTTATTTTTTTATTTTTCGTGTTTTTTTGTTTTTACTGAATTTTTTTAATATTTTAAGTAATTTTTTTACTTTTTAGACACACCTAATATAAATATACCTAAAAAGTAAAAAAATTGTAAAATAAATCTTTTAAAAATTCACTAAATATCAAAAATATAAAAAAATATAAGAATTCAGTACATTTTTTGTATTTTTATGTATTTATTAATTTTTTAAAATAATTTTTTATAATTTTTTTACTTTTTAAATACATCTAAGGTGCATTTAAAAAAGTAAAAAAAAAATGTTAAAAATTTAAAAAATATTCACTAAAAATAAAAGAATTCGAAAACTAAAAAACTCAATTTTCAAAAAACTCAATCTAAAAAACTTAAACCAAACACACTGATTATTTTTTTTAGATCATTCTAGCCAGAAAATATTTTTCGGGTTTTTGAACTGTCAACGTGTGGAAGCAACTTTACTATTAGTTTCAAAATTTTAAAATATAGCTTTGCTACTTTTATCTTTTAAATATATATACAATATAGTATATATTTACATATCTTTTTTGAGAACACGCAAATATATATATATATAGATAGATTTAATATCCATACCTTAGTATCCATTGTCTTCCTTTGTGTGCACTTATATTTCTCTATTATTGTCAAGCAGAAGTGAGATTTGAATTTGAGAGAATTGTGCAGGTTCATGAGACTGACGTACTCTCATTTTGATAGTCTAAATGGATTTAAAATTTAAGTTGATTTAATAATCATAATTTTATTTTATTTTATTGTGTTTATTTTTGAAAAAATAAATAAGAATTGTGTTTAAAAAAATAAATTATATATTTTTTTTTATATAAAATGTTAGGAAAAAAAATGCTCCTAAAAAATTAAATTTGGTAACTATTTTTTTTTAGTTGTAATGAATATCCTAGTTAAATTACATCATTTTATTTAAATCACATTACCTCTCTAACAAATCACATTAAACCCAATCCATATAAGTTAATAAGTCAAAAAGTATATTTTTTTAAAACATTCCAAACCAACCCTTAGTATCCATTGTCTTCCTTTGTGTGCACTTATATTTCTCTATTATTGTCAAGCAGAAGTGAGATTTGAATTTGAAAGAATTGTGCAGGTTCATGAGACCGATGTACTCTCATTTTGATAGTCTAAATGAATTTAAAATTTAAGTTGATTTAATAATAGTCTCTAAAGAAGCACCTGGAACACTTGGGAATTTTGAATAGGGTCTTTCCATAATCATCCCAAACTTTCAAGAATCGAGTACACATTCATACTGTGTTTGGTTGAGAAATTTGAGGATGAATTTGAAAAGAGAAATGAAAAAAGTAAGTGAACTATAAATAAAATATACTTACATTTCATTTAATTTCACATATTTTTTCATTTTTTATTTCTAAATCTCTGCCAAATCTCTCAACCAAAAATAACGTTAGTAGCGATACCTGATATTGATGACATAGTATTGTAATCTACATAAATTCATTCTAGAATCATTCAAAACTTTCAAGAATTGGGTATAAATTTAATGTCACGATAATATTATATATCAATGACGTAATATTATTAATTAATAATAAATTTACATATTTCAAAAATTGAATATAAATTCAGAATCACGCTGATATTTGATATGAATGATGTAGTATTACTAATCAATAATAAATTTACTTGACAATAAACTCTACTATTAATAAATAATTTTAATTTTAATATTTTTTAATGAAATTACCAACCGACCTATCCTTCTGTCCATGTATATAGATATTGGAGGTTCATCTTCACTCAGTCCCTGTAACCATCTTCACACAAAGCAGTATACCACCACTATTTGAGCTCAAATCTTCTGATTTTGTTTTTGAAATTTTGATAAAAAAATGGCAAATGATGAGGTGGTTCTTGCTGAGAAGGGTGTGGAGTATGAGTACAGAGAAGAGGACTTGACCAACAAGAGCCAACTCTTGTTGAAGATGAACCCGGTTCACAAGAAAGTCCCGGTTCTCATCCACAATGGTAAACCGGTCTGTGAGTCACTCATAGTTGTGCAATACATTGATGAGGTCTGGAAGGACAGGTATCCTCTGTTGCCCTGTGAGCCTTTCCCAAGAGCTCAAGCTAGGTTTTGGGCCGACTTTAAATTTTGAGACAAGAAGGTATGCTCTCTATATGCTTTCTTATATTTTTATGGATAATAAGTTATTTATCATGAATTTTTATTTTGAAAATTATTCGAAAGTGAGAGGTGTGATGTAGATTTAATATTGTTGAAATCAAAATTTTATAAATTTTTGTTATAAAAAATATTTGGGACCAATTCATGTAGTCGTTGAAAGCCCATTTAGAAAAAAAAAGTTTAAAAAGTAACTTTTAGTGACAACAAAACTTTGAAATTGTCGCTAATAAATAAAAAAAAATTTAGTCAAAAAAGATTTATTACTGTTTAATTTTATTGGTAAAAATATAATAATGATATTTTTATTAACAAAAATATTTAAGTAATTTTGTTCCTTAATTTTTTTCTTTAAAATTTTAATTTATTAGAGTGTATCATGGATTTTGTCCCAAAAATTATTCAAAAATATTGTCTAAATGTAAATTTTGTGAGAAAGTTATATCTAAAATAATTGTGATTGTACTTTCCTAGTCATGCACACTTCTTGCTCACCAAGGATCCTCTAGAGTGAAATTTTCCTAAAGTTTCCTAGAGTGTTATATTGTGTGGTTGAGATTTACTGGCAAGTTACATCAGAAAAATTGATGTGATTTGCCAGTAAATCTCAACCACACAATGGAGCACTCTAGGAAACTTTAGGAAAAAATCACTCTAGAGGATCCTTGCTCCTTCTTGCTTATTTTGAAGCAACTCTCTTTGTCGAGGTAATCAATTTTTTAATTTAATTTTATATTTTTGCCGTTCAAAAAAAAATTTATTTTATTTTTTATTTTGAGAATATGTACCAGTATGTTCGATGGAGTTAGGCGTAGTAATAAGTTGTTCAAATTGTGTTGGAAAACTTATAATGAACTTAAAATAAGTGTTTAAGTTTTGTTTATTTATTTTTAAGTCAATCTTAAATGATAAAATTGATCACGATCCAAGCTAGGCTAGATCAGTTTTTTAGTATCGTCTTCAAAATATGTTTAAATTTAATTTGTTTATAGATTTATGTAAAATTTCTGTTTACAATTTATATAAGTAAAAAATTACTTAAATCAACTGAAAAAAAAAAAAAAAACTTATTAATTAGAAATGGAAAGCTATAGAGGAGGGATACTTTCATATTCTGTTTTCTAATTTTCAAATTTCAGTTTACAATCAACAAAACTTTTGAGGATATAAATGGTGTCCATTGTTGGTGATGATGTCAACTTACAAGTAAATCAGATATAAATTGTGTCCTCTGGTGGTGAAAATAATGATGATATCAACGAATGAGGATATCTCTGAGGTCGAGACATCTGATGATTTTATTATATTAACGTGGACATTATTGTTGATATATTTTTTTTTGGTAATTTAATTAGGTGTGCATGTACACTAACCCTATGTAACCAAGTTTTTACTTGAAATTGTCACATAATTTGTTAAGCATTTCATTCATCACATTATTAAACCTTTTGAGGATTTGAATTGCAGGTTTATGATGCTGGGAGGAAGATATGGTCTACAAAAGGAGAAGAACAGGAAGCAGCTAAGAAAGAATTCATGGATACCCTCACATTTGTTTGGGCGGACTGGATTAGCATTTCCATGACTAATAGTCCTAGGACTACGAATTTGTTGGATTATGTATCCTATCTTAACTAATAGTCATGTTTAAAATAATTAACCCGTACTTCAATTGTTTAACCAAACATCAGATTAATAATTTTATTAGATTATTAGTCCAATCCCAAGCTCATGGACTCAAGGTGTTGGAAGAAAGAGGTCTTGGAGTTTCTTCAGCAATTGTAATTTAGTTTCTTGAGTTTTTCATAGCACACATGTCGCACGTACACACCTTCTTGTACCTACTTAATGGAGCTTATCTCATAAACAATCACAGCTCCTTTTCTTTTGCGCATTTACTGTTGAATTCACCCATGTGTGAAAGGGGTGATCATCCAAGTCAAGTTTGGTTGGCAACAATGGGAAGGCAACCAACAAAAGTCCACCTTGGCGGCCACCAACCATCTTGAAGAGTCAAGGATGGAGGCTGCCCAAAGGCTCTCCCACCTACTCCCTCACCTATAAATGGAGGTTGAGAGGAGAGAGCAAAATGTGAGTGAGTAAGTGAGAGAGGAAGAAAACCGTGAACCAAAGAGTGCGAGAGATGTGAGGCGGAGAGACCGTCTCCCT